TTTTTTGAGTGTAAAAATATTTTTTTTCTGAGTGTAACAAAGTAATTAATTTTTTATAATTAGAAAAAAATTCAAAACAACTGACCACAATTCCAACACAATATGAATCATACAAAGTCACATCATTTCTCATAATAATTGTCCTCAACACGCACACACACACTCGCATACACATGACTAACAACAACAGCATCAATCTGTTGATTGATTCGAAAACCACTGTCCCTGAAACGTGTCTATCAAACATTTCTATCAAACCTTTTAAACTATTTTGTTATTTTTTATTATTGTTTTGAAAACTTCAGTATCCGAATCAAAAAGTTCTGAAGCGTAATTTCCTACTCAGAGATTTTCTAATTTTCTCCAAATTCTAGTTTAATGACCGTTGAGATTAGATGTGAATTGTTCGTTAAATTCATTGCAGTGGGATTCTAATATGAATGAATACTGGAACTAGTAATTATTCAAATTAATCGCTTCTATTAATCGCAGTAAAATTCTCAAAACAATTATTACTATTGTTTTTGTAGTTTTGAAAAAAAAAAAAATAATAATAATAATACAACGTTTTGAATGAATCTATGTCGGATATTAGGAATGTCGTTAGTTAGTTCGAGTACAAAAGTAGCAGTAACTAAACCAGTGAGCGGAGCAGTATAGTCGGACGGGGCCGACCATATGATACCCTACACAACTACCACGAAAATCTAACTTTCTGTGTTTCTACATTCTAAGCTTGGGCAATATTTAGCGATATTTGCACCCTCTTGGCCGACTAGAGGTCGACAAATATTACAAATATTCAGTACAGCGCTTCTAATTACTTGTCCAGATTCACTTCACCGTGGGTTGTGTTTGTGATGTTCGGCTTTCAATTGTGGCTTATAGATCGACTCGAAAAATCAAAACAAAAACCAGTAAGGAAAGTAGTAAAGTCGGACGGGGCGGACTACCCTTAACCACTATAGGTATATTAAACAGGACCATTAACATGAAATTGGATGAACTAAAATATGTAATACATATCTAAACGTGAATCGACTAAGATCAATCAATAAACATGTCATTCGTTTGTTACAATATTCTTTGCTAAATTTTGTACGATGTACAAAATTTCATGTCAATCTGAAAAACAAGAGGAGTTTAATGCACCATTTACTTAAAATCGGACGAAAATATATATGGAAGCCATATCCAAATATAAACCGATTTAGTGTCACTTGTAACAGGTTAGGGTGTACTAATTTCAGTACGTTTTGTTCCTATCAGCCATACATTGGTTCCTTGGTGCGTCAATTATGTAAAATCAATCGATAATATATAAGGGAGCTACATCTAAATCTGGACCGATTTTCACGAAACTTGGCAAACATCACTCTAGGCTCAATTCGGTACGCTATGCCAAATGTCGTGCAAATCGAACGATATATAGGGATTTTGGTGCATCATTTACATAAAATCGGACGAAACTATATATGGGAGCTATATCTAAATCTGGACCGATTTTCACGAAACTTGGCAGACGTCATTCTAGGCTCAATTCGGTACGCTGTGCCAAATTTCGTGCAAATCGAAAGATTAATAGGGATTTTTTTGCATCATTTACATAAAATCGGACGAAACTATATATGGGAGCTATATCTTAATCTGGACCGATTTTCACGAAACTTGGCAGACGTCATTCTAGGCTCAATTCGATACGCTATGCCAAATTTCGTGCAAATCGAAAGATTAATAGGGATTTTTTTGCATCATTTACATAAAATCGGACGAAACTATATATGGGAGCTATATCTTAATCTGGACCGATTTTCACGAAACTTGGCAGACGTCAATCTAGGCTCAATTCAGTGCGTCATGCCAAACTTCGTGCAAATCGAAAGATATATAGGGCCTTTGGTGCACCATTTACATAAAATCGGACGAAACTATATATGGGAGCTATATCTAAATCTGGACCGATTTTCACGAAACTTGGCAAACATCACTCTAGGCTCAATTCGGTACGCTATGCCAAATTTCGTGCCAATCGAAAGTTATATAGGGACTTTGGTGCACCATTTACATAAAATCGGACGAAACTATATATGGAAGCTATATCGAAATCTGAACCGATTTTCCCGAAACTCACCACTCATCAAATTTCGTACAAATCGAAAGATATGTAGCCACTTTGGTGCACCATTTACCTTAAATCGGACGAAAATATATATATGGGAGCTATATCGAAATCTGAAACGATTTTTCCCAATTTCAATAGGGTTCGTCCTTGGGCCAAATAAATGAGCTGTGCCAAATTTCATCCAATTCGAATTAAAACTGCGACCTGTACTTTGTTTACAATTTAACATGGACAGACGGACGGACGAACAGACGGACATGCATAAATCGACTCAGAAAGTAATTCTATGCATATTCTGAAAAGGAACCATGGGTCTATCTCGATTATTTTTGCCTGATACAAACATATGCACAAATACATAATACCCTGTACCACAGTGTGGTGAAGGCTATAAAAAATAAGTTTTCGGTCCACTTCATCCCAATATCATTATGTGATCATCATCAAACATTATAGGCTTTGTCCTTGACCATAACTGGAATCTCATGGAACATATCAAAGCGATCAGCGCTATATTTCTATATTTTAATTTACTAAAATAATATTTTAAAATTAATGTCTATTAATAATACCATGTTATTTTCTGAGTGTACAACAGCTAATAATTTTGAATTTGGAAAAAATAAATGGAAAACATTAAAAAAAAAATTGTATTATTTTCTATTTTGTATTTATTGAAAATAATTTTTTTGTGTACAAATATTTTTCTGAGTGTAAAGTTTTTCATTTTGATGTCGTTTTTTTAGAAAGATCTATATCATCAATAATATGTTGGTAATACAAAATAATTGTTGTCACATAAGTTTTTTTTCGAGTTTAATATTTTTGTGTAATATTTTTTCCCCTCAAATTTGTATTCGAATTATTTTTTTTATTTGCTCTAAATAATTTTTATTTTTCCAAACATTTTTTGGAGTGTACACATATTTGTAAAACTTTTAATTTTGTATGTATTTTTTTTTTAAATATCTAAAAGGTCAATAATATATTAGTAATGAAAAACAAATTTGTCATTTATTTTTTTTTTCGAGTGTAATATAATTTGTTCCTGTTTTAATTAAATATTTTTTAATAATTTTTTTACAGAAAATATTATTTTATTTTATATATTTTTTTTTACTTTTTATACCCTTCACCACACTGTGGTACAGGGTATTATGTCTTTGTGCATATGTTTGTAACAGGCAAAAGGAAACGAGATAGACACATGGTTCCTTTTGAGAATATGCATAGAATCACTTTTTAAGTCGATTTATGCATGTCCGTCCGTCCGTCTGTCTGTCCATGTATTTTTGTGAACAAAGTACAGGTCGCATTTATGATCCGATTTGAATGAAATTTGGCATAGGTCACTTATTCAGCCCAAGGACGAACCCTATTGAAATTGGGAAAAATCGGTTCAGATTTATATATAGCTCTCATATATATATTTAACCGATTTAATGTAAACGGTCCCTATATATCCTTCTATTTGCACGAAATTTGGTACAGCCTTATCATTTAGGTCTAGAATGATGCCTGCCAAATTTCGTGAAAATCGGTCCAGATTTAGATATAGCTCCCATATATAGTTTCGTCCGATTTCATGTAAATGGTGCCCCAAAGTCCCTATATATCCTTCGATTTGCACAAAATTTGGCATAACGTACTGAATTAAGCCTAGAGTGATGTCTGCGAAGTTTCAAGAAAATCGGTCCAGATTTAGATATAGCTCCCATATATAGTTTCGTCCGATTTCATGTAAATGGTGCCCCAAAGTCCCTATATATCTTTCGATTTGCACGAAATTTGGCATAACGTACTGAATTGAGCCTGGAATGATGTCTACCAAGTTTCGAGAAAATCGGTCCAGATTTAGATATAGCTCCCATATATAGTTTCGTACGATTTCATGTAAATGGTGCCCCAAAGTCCCTATATATATTTTGATTTGCACGAAATTTGGCATAACGTACTGAATTAAGCCTAGAGTGATGTCTGCCAAGTTTGGAGAAAATCGGTCCAGATTTAGATATAGCTCCCATATATAGTTTCGTCCGATTTCATGTAAATGGTGCCTCAAAGTCCCTATATAACTTTCGATTTGCACGAAATTTGGCATAACGCACTGAATTGAGCCTAGAATGATGTCTACCAAGTTTCGAGAAAATCGGCCCAGATTTAGATATAGCTCCCACATATAGTTTCGTACGATTTCATGTAAATGGTGCCCCAAAGTCCCTATATAACTTTCGATTTGCACGAAATTTGTCATAACGTACTGAATTGAGCCTAAAATGATGCTAAGTTTCGTGAAAATCGGTCCAGATTTAGATATAGCTCCCTTTTATTATAGATTGATTTTAAGTAATTGACGTACTAAGGAACCAATAGAAACAAAACGTTCTGAAATTAGTATAACCTAACCTGTGACAAGTTTGTTTGAAATCGCTTAATATTTGGATAGAGCTTCCATATATATTTTCGACCGATTTCAAGTAAATTGGGCATCAGACTCCTCATGTTAGTCAGATTGACATCAAATTGTGCACAACGCACAAAATTGAGCATACAATTACGTAGTTGCGTTTTCTAGAAGTACAGACATAGCCCAACGGACTTATTTATATTTGTTTGAAGTCGATTAACATACTTTATGGATAGATCTAGGTAGATTCACATTTAGATAAATATTACTTTTTTTCATCCAATTACATGTTAATAGTCCTGTTTAATATACCCATAGTGGTGAAGGGTATCATATAGTCGGCCCCGTCCGACTTTACTACTTTCCTTACTGGTTTTATTTATATCCGTTTTTTCTTCATTTTTTCAGTTTAAATTTTTGAAAATATTTCTAATTTAATATTTAGAATAAATTAAATTTAAAATTAACTTAATTGAAAATTAATCATCCACAATTCCATGTTCCTGGGCATAAGTATACATACAAGTTACATATTGGCCAGCAGCTTCACAACTACAAAAAAAATTAAATTCATATATATTTTGTTTCAATATAAAAATAAAAATATTTTTTTAAAAATATATACCAAATGATTTATAAAATTTTTAATATTTAATCATATTTAACATTTTTTATTTATTTATTATTTTTTGATTTTTTATATCAAAAAAAAAATAATAAATAAAGTAATTAAATTGTTTATTTTTTAATATTATTTTTATTTTGTTTATTTTCATAATTAATAACTAAAAAATGTTTTTTTTTAAATTTTTTCAACTTACGGATCTTCATGGAAATCCAACGATTCACATGACTCCACCAATGTGGCGGCCAAATGAATTTTATCCTCCTCGTGTATGACAACTTCCGCCAATTTAATGGCTTTATCAGCATCCAAATCACCATCAACTAACTACAAAATAAAGAAATAAAAATATTTTTTTTATAAATTATAACTTACTCAATAAAAATTTAATTATTTAATAAAATTAATAATAATAATGATATTAACTTATGGCGGACCTTTGAAAAAAATTTTTTGGAAAATCGCCGACTTTTGACCAAAAACCAAGTTAAAAAATAAGGAAGATCTTCACCGATTGGCTTTATGGTTCATACGATAGCTATACACTCACAGAGAAACGTGTAAAAATTTGAAATCGATTGGATTATTAGTTTTTGAGTTATCGTGCCCGCCATTCGCAAAAGAGAAAAACGCGTTTAAAGTTTGAGAAGCCCTTTAGCCGTCACTTGATGCTAACACAATAAATCGGCTATATTTTCAAGAGTTCTTGAGATTTTCACTTGAAATTTTGTAGGGACATTCTTAAATTAGTGTAGATTCGAATTAAATCAAAAAAAAAATTTGACCCTGAGAATGGAGGGGGTCCCCTTAATACAATGGGTCATTTTCTTACCACACCCAAATGACGCATCAGACAGGCACGCATACATTTGCCCTCCTTGGTGGTTGGGGGCATGCGGGCCTTAAATGTTGCAATGTCATCTAGAAAAAATATATATAAAAAAAAATTAATTTTATTTAAAACATTAAGAAGACAATATAAATAATGAAAAAATATATAATAAATCATTCCACTTGCCCGTTTGTTAGTAAACGCCTAAAAGTATGCTTTGAATTTTGTCATTTAAGGCTTTTGAAGGCAATAAATGACTAATTGCATTGAAACAACATTTTAGGTCAATGAAAAAATATTTTTAACCAGAGAAAACCAGTAAGGAAAGTAGTAAAGTCGGACGGGGCCGACTATATGATACCCTTCACCACTATGGGTATATTAAACAGGACTATTAACATGACATTGGATGAAATAAAATATGTGATATTTATCTAAATGTGAATCTACCTAGATCTATCCATAAAGTTGTAAATCGCCTTCAAATAAATATCAATAGGTCATCCGTTGGGCTATGTCTGTACTTCTACAAAACACAACTACGTAATTCTATGCTCAATTTTGTACGATGGCAAAATTTGATGTCAATCTGACTAACATGAGGAGTTTGATGTCCAATTTACTTGAAATCGGGCGGAAATATATATTTGGAAGCTCTAACCAAATATTAAGCGAATTCAAACAAACTTGTCACAGGTTAGGTTATACTAATTTCAGAACGTTTTGTTCCTATTGGTTCTTTGGTGCGTCAATTACTTAAAATCAATCTATAATAAAGGGAGCTATATCTAAAACTGGACCGATTTTCACAAAACAAGGCAGACATCATTCTAGGCTCAATTCAGTACGTTATGCTAAATTTCGTGCAAATCGAAAGATATATAGGGACTTTGGTGCACCATTTATATGAAATCGGACGAAACTATATGGGAGCTATATAGAAATCTGGACCGATTTTCTCGAAACTTGGCAGACATCAATCTAGGCTCAATGCAGTACGTTATGCCAAATTTCGTGCAAATCGAAAGATATATAGGGACTTTGGGGCACCATTTAGATGAAATCGGACGAAACTATATATGGAAGCTATATCTAAATCAGGACCGATTTTCTCGAAACTTGGCAGACATCATTCTAGACTCAATTCAGTACGTTATGCCAAATTGCGTGCAAATCGAAAGATATATAGGGACTTTGGGGCACTATTTACATGAAATCGGACGAAACTTTATATGGGAGGTATATCCAAATCTGAACCGATTTTCTCAAAACATGGCAGACATCACTCTAGGCTCAGTTCAGTACGTTATGCCAAATTTCGTGCAAATCGAAAGATATATAGGGACTTTGGGGCACCATTTTCATGAAATCGGACGAAACTATATATGGGAGGTATATCTAAATCTGAACCGATTTTTTCAAAACTTGGCACACATCACTCTAGGCTCAATTCAGTACGTTATGCCAAAATTTCGTGCAAATCGAAGGGTATATAGGGACTTTGGTGCACAATTTACATGAAATCGGACGAAACTATATATGGGAGCTATATCTAAATCTGGACCGATTTTCACGAAACTTGGCAGACATCATTCTAGACCTAAACGATTAGGCTGTATCAAATTTCGTGCAAATCGAAAGATATATAGGGACCGTTCACATTAAATCGGTTAAATATATATATGGGAGCTATATCTAAATCTGAACCGATATTTCCCATTTTCAATAGGGTTCGTCCTTGGGCCGAATAAGTGACCTATGCCAAATTTCATCCAATTCGGATCATAAATGCGACCTGTACTTTGTTTACAATTTAACATGGACAGACAGACAGACGGGCAGACGGACGGACGGGCATGCATAAATCGACTTAGAAAGTGATTCTATGCATATTCTCAAAAGGAACCATGTGTCTATCTCGTTTCCTTTTGCCTGTTACAAACATATGCACAAAGACAGAATACCCTGTACCACAGTGTGGTGAAGGGTATAAAAAACATTTTTAATTAATCCACGCCTATTTTGGATGACTGATTTTTTTTAATTCCACGCCTATTGTGGGTCACTGAAATTTTTTAAATCCACGCCTATTTGGGATGACTGATTTTTTTTAAATCCACGCCTATTTTGGATGACTGACTTTTTTTGTTTAAATCCACACCTATTGTGGGTCACTGGAATTTTTTTTAAATCCACGTCTATTTTGGGTCAGTGAAAGAATATCTTAAATAAAATATATCCTTCGAACTTACCTTCTATTGCTCCTTCTTCTTCCTTGCATTCTTCGATTATCGTCAAAACATTTTCCCGAGTGATTTCTTCAGCCTATTTAAATAAAAATATTAATAATAAGAATATTATTTAAATAAATATATATATTTTTTAATTTTCCATAGTACCTGTATATAACACAATAACACTGTTAGCAAACCAAATAAGCCAAAGAAATGCATTTTTAACAAAACAAAATATATTTTATATATTATTCAAACTATTTTCTCGATTGTCAATGAACTGACATCAACTCTTCGAATTTTATTTCCATTTATATTTTAAAATTTTCCATTTTCAATTAAACATTTCGAAATAAAAATTCTCCATTAATTATGGCCATGGGAAATGCTATAATGGTAGCCATATAACATGTCGGCCTTAGATTAAGATTTATCCGCAGATCGGAAGACATTGTTTTGCGGCGCTTTAATCTCTCGACAATAATACCGTGGGAAATGCAAATTAATTCTTAGCATTTTATATGATTTACAAAATTCAATTAGAAAACTACAAATTGCAATATTAAATTTTATCATTGATACTAATTTGTGCACAAAATTTAGAGAATAAAATGTGGGAAAAAGAAATCAATTATTTTAGAAAGAAAACAAATGAATATTTATAGGGTAAAATTATTTTGTTGCATTTGCAATTAACAAAACCGGATTTCACAGTAACAAGTATTTAAATTAAAAATCACGTTATTAAAATTAATTAATATAGACTGAAGACTATTCTGAGACATATTAATATGACCTACACAAGCAAAAAGCGATATCTACACCTCGCTAATAGCATTGTCGGCATTAACATCTATGGTTTGTGTCTTTGCTATACATCACAGGATGGTAGTTACATTCCATCTCAATTGCTATTGGTCTGCACTATGATAAGCGACACCTAGTGTGGTAATCATCTGGACTATTGTTAATGTTTTCTTAATAAGTGTTCGCATTGTAAGAACATGGGTTTCGTATAATAAAACCAGTGAGCGGAGCAGTATAGTCGGACGGGGCCGACCATATTATACCCTACACAACTACCACGAAAAGCAAACTTTCGGCGGTTCTATATTCTGAGCCTGGGCAATATTTCGTGATATTTGCACTCTTTTTACCGATTATAGATTAACAACTCCTCTTTCTAAGTCTTGAATATTTTCAAAATGATTTTTCTTGAAGTGAATTTTTACGCCATAAAATAAAAAAATGGTCACTTTAGGTTTTGATTGATTTGACCTCGGAAAATTGACCGATCATCATCTAAACAGCCGCTCTAAGTATATGGTCAGATCCCCATCACCTTGTAAAATATGTGATGTTCTGCATATAATAATTGCCTCTAGAGCGACTAGAAAATCTGACAAAATTAAAGTTTTCGGTTCGTTGTACCCCCTGAATGAAATCTCAACTTCACCGAAAACTATAGGCGTCGTCCTTGACCATAATCAGAAATTCATGTACAATTTCAAAACGATCAGCGCGACATTTCCGTCATCTAATGGTAATACTATGCACATAGTCACCTTTACCTAATTACGTATAACTCCCACATCAGAGTACATACATGCATATAATTGGTATCAATTTGAAGGTCAACAACTCCTCTTGGATATACTATCAACTTCTCGGGTATATGTCCTTCAGGAGCAAGTATATACACCCCAGAATAAAAATTTTGTAATTTTTCACACAAAAGTCAGGGTCCATTTGACCCGCTAAATATTGACCGATCTTTATCAAACCTGGGATGCTTATTCTTAAGCCCGGTCCCCTTAACTATGTAAAATTTCACGATATTCGGACCAAAACTGTGGCCTCTGGAGCGACCAGAAAAACCGACATAAATTTAGTATTTGGTCCATTTCATCCCCTAAATATTAACGGATCTTTAACAGAAACAATAGGGGTCTTCATTGGACCGAACCCAACCTACATGCAAAATTTCGTGAAGATTAGTCCATAACTGTGGCATGTATCGTTATTACAAATTATAATCGACAGACGGACGGACGGACACACATGTCTAGATCGACTCAGCTAGTCGAGATATGACGATCGGTATACTTAAAGGTGGGTCTAGGACGAATATTTCGCAGCGTTACAAACTTTTGGGGCTGCACAAAGCTATAATACCCTGACAACATAGTTGTGGAAGGTGAATGTCTTGCTGTGGGTCTCTTGTGTAAAGGAGAGAATATTTAGTTAAACAGAGATCTATTTTCGTATACAGTCAACTTGAGATAAGAGATTATTTTGGTTGAATGTTTGTACACAAGAATAAGATAGGAGTTTTCTGTTGCCACATGTGGTATGTTTGGGTGAGATTACGGGGAGTAATGGTCGCTACAGGCTGATAAGAATGTGTAAGAATGGAAAAATAAAATGCTGAGTCGAAAGGAGACTGCGGCAAGGAAGAAGGCGGTGACGGCGAGACATTTAGCCAGTGAAGCTTAGATACTGAGCATAGCGGCTGCAGATGAAAGAAAGGAGGCGATGGAGTCCCTTGCCCTAGAAGATAAGCTAGGCAGAGCCTCGGCACCAACCGAACTTCAGTTGGTGATAAGCAATTTAATAACGAATATGGACATGTACGCAGAGTCTATCGATGAAATAGATACGACTGTGGTACAGTCCCCATATGACTTAATAGAAAGGTTGGTTAAGGAAGCACCCTATGAAGTGAAAGGCGATCGGATGGTTCGGGATCGGTGGATGGAGATATTGGAGAAAAAATCCAATATGGCAGGAGGTTTTAGGCCAGTCCAAGAACAAATTGGCAGCCTTCAAACGGCACTCCGCCGTGACGTGGCGGAGTTACGGGCAAGAAATAAAGAGCTAGAAGTTGCTCTAAAAAGATCGGAAGACGCCAATGGTTGCCTTAAAGAAAGGGCGCAGGCAAGGTATAGAGAGGCTAGAGATACTTACATCGATACATTTACTATCATGTTCGCAAGCTTAAAGGTGAATTGGTGGTGGTTGCGGAGAAAGCCCAGGCAGAAGAAAAAATCATGGGAAGAAGAGAAATGTAAGCTTTTGCAAGAACTGGATCTTTCGGAGAATAACCGTCGAGCAGCAGAGACCGAACGTGATAAGTTGAGCAGGCTCATGGCTGCCAATGCCAATAAGGAGCGGCAAGTAAGTAATATTCCATTTGTACAGGAAATAACTCCAGTCGAGTGAGCCATGGAAAAGAACGATGGGGTGGCTGATGCGGAGAAACCTGTTATGGAAGTTGAATCCGATGAAGTGAAGTTGAGTCCGATGTAAAACAAGTCCACGAGGGAATATATACCAAGAAGTGTGAGCCGCCAGTGGATAATTGTTTTGCCGATATGAAGGTGAAGCCGGCGGACAATGGCTGTTACCCGACAGCAAATGATTTGGGCTGTGAGCAAAAGCCGGTGGTTATTAATGTTCCGACGAGGAAAATTATGGCTAGAAATCCTGGAAATGGAGATATGAAGATGAAGCAGGCGGACAATTGCGATGAACCGACAAAACAAGGTGATTGGTTATGTAAGCATAGGCCGTTAGTTGCAGATGTCACCGCCAGGAAGATTGCGGCTATAAATCCTGAAGCTGCGGCCGGGAAATTGAAGGCCGTGGACAAATGTGACGTTCATCGTAAGAAGGAAGTGGTGGTTATGACGAAGCTTGTCGATGATACCGCCAATAAGACGAAGACAGCAGCCGAAATTCGGAGCCACCAAGAAAAAGCGGTTACATTGCCAATATGAAGAGGTCGGTGGATGTGCCGCCCTGGAAAATGAAGATGCGAAACAAACGTACGGAGCAGATAATGGACCATGTGGCCAGTCCGAAGATGAAGACTATGTACAATGGTTCAGGCTGGAAGAATAAGACGGCGGACAAAGGTAGAGGTGCCAACAACGGTGGTACCTAGTGGCGATTACATAGCTGTGTTTTTAATTTGTTTTATAATTAAATTTCTTATATTTTATAATTGTATTTTTTGAATATTTTATATTTTAATAATCATATATATAGGATTTGAAACTGAAGGCAATCTTAAATCATATTAAACAATGCACAGGAATTTAGAATCTGATTGAAAAAAAATAAATATTTCCATAATTGTTAAGTCCACAATAACAAAAAATGTTTTAAATGCTTTATTTTGTTTTTAAGGAATTAATTTCACAACAAACAAAAAATAGGTAACTAATTAAAGGCTTTAACAAAATTATTTAAATGTTGACAAGGATAAATAAAAGTTACACAAGGCATAATGAAAATTGTTTTCAAGGATAATTGGGTTAATGGGCAGCGGCATGTTCTTTGAGACAGGCGCCATATTGGACAGCAGCTTCGCAGCTATAAGAAAATAAATAAAAATATTAAAAATTGTAATAGCAATAAATCATTGACAAAAATATTCATTAAAAAGTGCTGAATCTAATTAGAAATTATACTTACTGATCATCATCAACCTCCAAGCCTTCACATGCCTCCACCACAGCTGTGGCCTTATCCTCATCATCGCCGAACAAGACCATACCAACTTCTATGGCTTTGTCTTTTACCAATTTACCATCGGCTAGCTATAATTTGAAGAAATATAAATAAATAATTTTAATAATAAATAATTTAAAATGATTAATTAAATTAATAAATAAAAATATTTTTCCTTACCACACCGAATTTCTCCATTATACATGCCACCATACATTTACCCTCAGGTGTTGAGGGTGACTCGTGGGCTTTCAAGGCTTCAACGTCCTCTGAAATATTAAGAAACAAAAACCAATTCAAAATCCTCTAAAGAATCAAGACTATAATCAACAGATTGATATTTTTGAACCAGTCGCGACGTGGATTTTTAAACAAAAAAATGTTCATGGGGTCTTAGTGAATAACAATTTTTACTGAACGCCAAGTCATGAATTTGACAACAATTTTGTTTCCTAAGTCCTATATTAGATATTGACTTGTTAAACCACTTTTTTCAAGAGCCAAGAAGATTCAGAAAATAAAAATACTTCCAGAATAGAAATAAAGTTAAAAAAATATACAAAATTGTTCACATTTATAATATCGTTTGATTGCAAATGAATCCTGTGCTATTGAAACTAAGTCAGTAAGGTAAATATGGGGAACTGGTTAGCAAAGCAATAAAAATAGTTCATAGTACTTAGCAACACCATGATCGCATTGGG